ATAATGATGTTCCCACTGACCATCCCAGAACTGGTATAGTGATCACCGATAGGTCATATATAACAAATTATAATTAATGGAAAACATTTTACAAAGACAGATTAATAACAGATCGTTTATACTTGAGTTATAGTAGAATAATGGATAGCAAGTAGAGTGAGGAAACAGAGGGCCGAGTTCGAATTCCAGTTTCCCCATTATTAAATTCATGTTTGTTTAAAATTTTTTTTTTGGTATGTATCCTCAAATGACGATTCTCCTCCCATAATGTGTAAAATAGGAGGCCAGAAAATTATCTTCTAAAGCCAAAAATGCAACCAGTCTTGGAGAAAGTAACTGTCCCTATCCTTTTGGTACAGCTAAAGAAAAGGATCGTTTGTGACTTATTTGGGTTAAAACCGGTTTAGGAGAAAACTTTTTTTAATTCAAAAACTGTATCCTCTAAAACCCCATTTGTGGTATTCTATTTTATAAAGATTGGCTTTTTTTTGAATTTCATGATTTCGACTACAGCCGGATAATGATAGTGGCAGAGTTCGAATTCCAGAATTATATTCATTTACGGGCAAATAACCTTGTAGAGTCTATCCGTCTATTTTCCCCGTAACTATGAGTAAATAGCAAAACAGACTAGGCTGCCTCAGTTAAAGAGGAGAATGACAACTCTGAATTCAAAACGTCCAACTATGGGTTAAATAGTCTCACTGAAGAACTGGTTAATCGGGGATCGATTCCTCTGAGGAGTGAGAAGCCCCCGGATCTGGTTTAATGAAATTTTGACTGGGTTTTTTTTTTTGATCAAATACAGTTAAATTTTATTCGTTTTCTCAAAAATTATTAAAATGAAAAAATTACAGCCGTTCTATTCTTGCTTTTAGAGGTTCCCAAGTAATTTATCATTTTCAAAATTCATTTATATGATTTATCTATTAGTTTTTTTTTTTTAATTTTTGACTGTCTAGGGATACATAATATTATTCGAACAATGAAATATAAAAGAAAGGAACGATTTACCCTTATAGGCCATATATTAAAACTAAAGGTGCAGTTTAAATAAATTGAAGATCATTTTCATAAGCAGATACCTGAAGAAGCCCAAATGGTTGGATGACTGAAACGTTATAACAATAACCACAAAGAAGAGGATATAGTCCAATTTATGAAGATGATTTCCCATTAATCTGATAAATTCAATTGTGAAATTTTGTCCACATTCATCATTCGAGAAAAAATCATTTAAACTTTCTTGGTAGGTTTACAATTTTTCATAAAACATGGAATATTTAATTTTTTCCATATTTCACCCTACTTTTATTATTTATAGTGCCATATATTTATATATATATATAAGAGATATAAAATATGGAAATTATTTATATATAGTAGGAGTTTAGAAATATAAAAGAAAAAAATGGAAGACCACCCGATGTTGCATTTATTTTTTTTAAAAAAAAATTGTTTTTTTTGTTTTTTTAAGAGAAAAAAAGTAACACAGGGGAAAAGTTGAGAAAAAAATTGTTGAAGCAGAAGTTCATGGTTAAACGTAACTGATTTGAAGTTTTTGGGTCTAAAATAAAATGCTTAAATTCATATATAATTTTAGGAAGAAGACACACACACACACACACAAATTTGTTAAAAATTATTGGAAAATCTATGTTCACAGATGAGAATGTGACTGTTTCGTTATGTCACCCTTATATATATTTCATACTCACAAGTGACCATAGATTTTTAATTGGATTCAGATCAACTTGAAAAGATAGCCATTAAAATTATTTTTAAAATGATAAATAATATTTTTAAATAAATAATTCTGTTTTTATCTAAGGTTATATATATATATATATATATATATGCAGTAAATTGGACCTTTTTGATCATCTTCATCTAGAAATAGCGATCTCAAAGACGCGAAATCACCAAAATCAAGTATTAATGTTTTAATTTTAAATTAAATTTAATTGCAGAGGAAATTTAAAATCGTTGGTTCCCAGACTTTATAACATGGTTCAAGAATGTCTCATATCTTCAATTCCTCTCTCATAAATTTAACCTGCAATCCTTACAAAATAAATTAAATAAACGCTCTTGAGATGAAAAGAATAGAATGACCAGATATGGCAATTCAATATTCATTGGATTTCGAATGGTATATTTAAAGGCATATAAGATAGATTTCATTTTATGAAATGATCCAGTGAACTATTGATTGGTTTGTTCTTTCCCCATTTCATTGGAACATTTTCCAAAATGGCAACAAAAGAGACTTTCATGAGTTGAGCATCAACCATATGATGGCGGGGCATAGAAAAACTCATGATGGTTAAATGAAAAATAATTTAGTTTTGGAGGCATTCAAATTTGGATGGAATTCTGTTATAGTCAACCACAGATTTAAGGTTCTTTTTCGAAAGCAGCGGCCATGTTTACATTGTTATATTAAACGGATTCACTTTGAAAAGGAGTTCGGTTTCGTCTGCTTGGTAAAGTAGATGAAGAAATGACCTTCCTCCATTAGATGATACGTCAAAACAATTGTTTTCCCAGGATAGAGTTGAATCAAATCAGAGTTAAGGGATTAAAAAAAAAAAGGATTCTTACAATTTTTATTATTAAAATTTCCCAATTGCTTTCATATCATATATTTTTTTCCTGAGAATCGAGACCTTAATATCAAAATCAACAAAACCCTTGCATATAAAGATTGCTGCCATATGGTCTGGAGATTTTCTGTTTGCCTCGGGTTCTTGATAGGCTCCAGAGGCGGATATGCAATATAATTGGCCCTGTTCTGGCATCTCGTCTACAGTCACTTTCTCACAGACGCGCCGTCGCCTCTCTCTGTCTTTTTTACAAATACTTTCATGGTAATTGCTCCGAGGAGCTGCATTCGCTGGTTCCCAGACTTCATGAGTTCAAGCGCCCTACGAGGCTGGCATCCCGCTCTCACCCCTTCACTGTCGAAACTCCTAAATGTAGCCGTCTCTTCTACTCCAATAGCTTCATGTCTCGCACCTCTCGCCTGTGGAACTCCCTTCCCTATTCCAGTTTCCCTGAGAGCTATAATCTCCAACTATTCAAATGTAATGTCAATCGACATCTCCAGTTGCCTTGATCTATCCACTATCCTTCTCCTCATCCTTTCCTCTCTCACTCCTATCTGATCTTGCTCCAAAATTTCTGTAACTCCTTGCGTCCTAGAGGCTTCTCGCCTTGCTTGGGGTGAAACGCTTAAAAAAAACAAAAAAAAGAACAGTAAATATATAATAAAGTGTTTTATAAATATTTTTATTTTTTTAAAATATTTCTCAAATGTAAAATTAAAGACCATTTTTATTATAAATTATTATTTGGTTAAAATAAGAAAAAATTAGAAGGAAATAAAAATATATATATATATATATATATATATATATATAAATATAAGAGTTTAAAAACATCCTTAAAAAAAAAAAATATGAAAATTTAGAGGCTTGAAACCTCAATTTGAAATTCCATTTATGAATGTTAAATTACAACAACTCACCATCATTAAATATTTTTAAATAGACCAATAATTGAATAACGATTTTAAATGAACTTTATTTACTATATACAATTTTATAAAATCCATTTCACAATTATTTTATTATCAACAAAACAAGAAAAGAAAAAAAAAACCAAGAATGAATGAATGAATGAACAATATTTCAAAAGAGATTTTTTAAAGATTAAATTTCTGCGAAGGAACAATATTTTTGGGGGTTTGAATTAAAGGACAGAGAATATATATTCAAAAAGAAAAGAAAATCCTTATCAAAATAAACATAAAAAATTTAAAAGATAAATAAAGGAGAAAAAATTAAAAAGGAGGAATGGGAACAAAGGAAGATTTCAGGGAAAAGAAAAAACATTTTATATGGAATGAAAAGAAATTTGAAAAAAAGAAAAAAGAAAAGAAATTATTTAAGAAATCTGTCCATGCATAGAAAAGAAAGAAAGAACGAAGAAAGAAGTGAAAAGAAAGAAAGAACAAAGAAAAATTCAAAAGAAAGAAAGAAAATTAAATGCAAAAAGAAAGAAAAAAGAAAAGAAAAAGAAAAAAGAAAATAAAGAAAGAAAAAAATGAAGAAAAAAATTTTAAAAATTCACTATACATAATTTGTTTTTTTTTGAAGAGGTTAAAAAATCATGCCTTTTCAGTGACCAGTTGCACTATACACAGGTAAATATTTTCTGGAAGGGTTAAAATCAGTCCCAAAAATTCAGGGGTCCCACTATAAACATCAAGTTTATTTTTGGAATTAATGTGTTATTTTATTTTAAGTTCATATAAAAGAATATGCTTTAAGGTTAGCATTAACTGAGTTTCCAACCCAGATTGTTCTTGAGTACTTATATGGGTGATCAAGAAAATAAAATGCATAATTTTATGATTATTTAATTGAAATGTATTAATCATAAGTGTTTTTATTTTCACTAAGTTTTACTTAAGTTTAAAATTTGACACAAGGCCATGCAAGGGTAAGAAAAGAATTAAATAATGAATTATTTTTTTAACTGGGAGAAGCCTATCTGTTGCTTGAAAATCGTTTTCTTTTAAAAATTTTTGATTTTCCTAGTCTTGATCCCTGACTAAAACGAATTAACACCTGACATGAATTATTTGTTCACAATTTAATGATATCCTAAAAAGTATGTTCTAATTCTTTGTGCAGGATAAATAAATTTTTCTGTTTATATAGAGGAAGACGTAATTAAGTCTCTTTTGGGATATTTATACATTGATATCAATAATGGTGGAAAACCTTCATAAGGTTAAATAGAAGATGGAGTAGGATTTAAATTGAAAAGAAAGAGAGAAGAGATTAGAATGGATTGTCTATCTTTAAAGGAAAAGCAAAAAAGAAAATGAAATGTCTAAGAAAAGGAAAGGAGAAGAAAATGAAGGAGATAAAACCAAATGGAAAAATGAAAAAGAAAATGAACAAAGAAATAAAAAAATTTAAGAAAGAAAATTAAAAAAAAAAAACAGCAAAATAATTGAAAAATGAAAAAAGAAAAGAAAGAATTTTCTTTTTTAAAGAATTGAACGAATAAATACAGATAACATTCAAGTGACAGACAAATAGAGAATAAAATATGATAAAGGAGGGTGAAAAAGAAAATGAAAAATCAAAATAAAAGAAATTTGAGAATTTGAAAAAGAAAGAAAGGAGAACATGCCTTTCAAGAAAGAAAGAAAAATAGCAAACAAAAAGGAGAATAAACAATAAAAGAAAAATTGAATAAAAAGGAAAACGAATAGAAAGGAAGAAAGAAAGAAAATAAAAACATAAGAAAGAAAATTGAAAAATAACAAAAAAAAAAGAAAAATTTTTGAAATATTGTCTTAAAAATAGAAACATGTTAAATGAAGAAAGAAAAAAAAGAAAAAAAAAAAAAATATAAAAAATAATAAAAAAAATCTTACTCGATAAAAGATAATGGCAAGAAAAAAATGGATAAAAATGTTGATATTTATTTGAAAAGGAATTTGGTGTGGGGTTGAATATTGAATAAAAGAAAAGAAAAAGAAAAATTAATTGCGAAATAAAAATGATTGAATAAATTTAAATGATTCGAAAATAATGAATTTAAAATATTGGAAAAAAAAAATAAAAATAATAAAAAAATGAATAGAAAAGAAGAAATTGAAAGAATTGATCGTTATCCTTTTAGAATTAAAAATCAAAAAAAAATCATTCAAAAAAAAAAAACCATGACAAAAAGGAAAAAGAATAAAATTTTTAAAAATTTTTGATGATTGAAGAAAAAAAGGAGGAATGAAACAAGTGACTAAAATAAATCTAAAATCCAATTTAACCTTACATTTTTTTAAAAAGAAAAAAACGAAAGAAAAGTGAAGGAAAGAAAAAAAACAAAATGAAAAAAATTTAGAAATAAGATTCTGTTAAAGAAACCAATATTTCGGGAAGAAAAAAATAAACAGAAAAGAAATGCAAAAAAGGAAAGAAAAAAATTGGAAATGAATAAAAAAAACAAAGGTTTAGAAAAAAATGAGAGAGAAAAAAATAAAATAACATTTAAAAAAAAGAAAAAAAAAATTCTATAAAGAAAAATTTTTTCTTAAATTTTTTTTTTATAAACGTTTAAAAGAAATTAAAATAATTGGAAAAAAATGAAAAATATTTTTCATCAAAGACAATAAAAAAGGAGAAATAAAAAAAAGTAAATAGAAAAAATTTATATTTTTTTGGAAAAGTTAAAAAAAAAAAAAATTTTTAAAAAAATTTTTTTTTTTTCAAAACAACTGAAAGGAAATAAAATATTTCTTAGATAAAAAAAAGATTCAAATTTAAATAATAAAAAAAAAAAAATATTTTCTGGAATAAAAAAATCAAACAAGAAAAAAATAATGTAAAAAAAAAAATTGTGAAAGAAAATCTTTTTTCCTTGAAAGACAGAATGGAAAAAAAATAGAATGAAAAAGGACGAAGGACATAGAAAAGGTTTAAAGATTTGAATGAATGAAGAGAAAATTGAAAGATAAAAGAAAAATTTTCTTTAATTGGTTCTTTAAATCTATGGAGAAAGAAAGAAAATTATAAATGAAAGAAAATTAAATGAATGTTTTTGAAAAACATTCTTTTCTTACTTTCGTCTTTGAAAATAAAAAGAATGGAAGAACTGAACAAAGATCAAAAAATGGAAAAAAAGAAAAAAGAAAGATGAAAGAAAATAAAAAAAAAAAAGAATAATTTGGCACAAAAAATTTAGAAAGAAAGAAAAAAATGGAAGAGACTTAATGAATTTTAAAAAAAGGAAGATTTCTTTTGAAAGAAAGAAAGAAATTTGGAAGAGAAAGAAAAAATATTTAAATTATAAATTTTATTGAAAGAAAAAAAAATTTTTGGGAAAAAAAAAAATAAGAAAGAAATTGTCAAAAAAAATATCCAGAAAAAAAAAATCCATATATCAGGAAAAAAAATTGATTGTTTCATGAAAGACATTAAGAAAGAAAAAAAAAAAAAATTCATTGTTGGAATAATCCCTGAATCTTTAAATTTTTATTTCAAAATGAAATAAAAAATTTTTAAAAAAAAATAAATAAAGAAAGAAAAAGAAAGAAAGTAAATGGGAAAATAAGAAAGAGAATAAAATAAAAAAACAAAAATAAAGAAAAAAAAGAATCAAGAGACCTCTATAAAGATAAAAAAAATTTTATTTATAAAGAAAGAAAGAAAAGAAATATTTGAAGAGAAAAATGAGAGATTAAAAAAAAGGAACAAGGTGAAAAATGAAAAAATTTTAAAAGAATTTTCTTTTAGAGATTGAAAAAGGAAGAAAAAAGAAAGATTTATCTTTTCAGAGACTGAATCTTTTTTAGATAAAGAAAAAAGAACAAAAAAGAAAGAAAGAAAAAAAAAAAAAAAAAATGAAAAGAAAAAAACAAGAAAAAATTTCTCAAAGAAAACAGATTCATCCAGGAAAAAGAAAGAAAATTAAATGAAATAAATAAGAAAGAAAAGGAAAATGAAAGAAAAAAATTTAGATAAAAAACAAAAAAAAGAAAATGAAGAAGAAACTGAATGAAAAAGAAAAGAAAAAGAAAAAAAAAAGAAAGATAGAAAAGAAAATTATCCTACTGAAAAAGAGACCTTTGCCAAAATGAAAAGAAAAAGGAAATAAGCCATTTAGAAAAAAGAAAGAAAGGAAGAGACTCGAATTTTAAATAAAGAAAGGAAAAACGAAAGAAAGAAAGAAAGAATGAAGAGATTGAACGAAAGAAATAAAGAAAAGGAAAAAATTTTTTGAAAGAAAGAAAGAAAAAAAGAAAGAATGGAAGAGAAAGAACGAAAAGAAAAGAAAAAAAAACAAGGTTCAAGAAAGAAAGAAAAAAAAACAGGAAAAAAGAAAATGAAAAAGAAATAAAAAACAAGAAAAATAAAGAAAGAAAAAAAATCTTGGAAGAAAGAAAGAAATCTTTTCCTTTTTCTTAAAGGCAGAAAGAAAAAAGAAAGAAAGAGTGGACGAGACTGGACGAAGGAGATAAAGAAAAAGGAACAAGGTGAAAGAAAAAGAAAGAAAAAACGGGGGGGGGAAGAAAAATGAGAAAGAAATAAAAACAAGAAAAAATAAAGAAAGAAAAACGATTAAGAAGGAAAGAAAGAAAATCTTTTGAAATGAAAGACAGAAAGAAAGAAAAAAGGAAAGAATGGAAGAGACTGAACGAAAGAGATAAAGAAAAAGGAACAAGGTGAAAGAAAAAGAAAGAAAAAAAACGGGGAAAAAAGAAAAATGAGAACGAAATAAAAACAAGAAAAAATAAAGAAAGAAATAAAAACGAGTTAGACGGAAAGAAAGAAAAACTTTGAAAATGAATGATGCAAAAGAGCGAGAAAGACAAAAATGAAGAGAAGTGCCTAGAAAGAAGAGAAAAATAAAATGAACGAAGGGACGAAAAATAGATATAAATAATTGAAAGAGGAAGAAACATTTTTGTTTCCAATCCTGCCTCTTTAAATCTTCTCTGTCAATTTAACACTTCCATTGAGTCTAGACTCCTAAGCCGTGTGTATGACTGCAATTCCATTCGCTTTACTGTCAAACTCTCCATTGTCTTTCTTACACACTCTCTCTTTCTCTACCTCTTCCGCAAAAATAGCGTTTAACGATATCTATCGTATCAGGAAATAATAGAAAATGGCACGGTGTAGGCAGAGATGTGCAGACAGGGTGTGTCAGTTTTTCAGTATTTCACCGACCGTCATAGTCACCGAACCCGAACGAAGGAAAAGATTTCAGAATCAAGAAAAACGCGACTCAACACCGAATTTATAGTCGTATGCTGAACACTGAAGTTACCCATGAATTTGTTTTATCGTTTTTAACTCTTCCTTTAGTCGTGTGTGGCATTGACACAGAATTTTAGTTCAGTGGGGTTTTCAAACACCCCATTTAAAATGTAAAATATAAACATTTAATTCTTAATTTTCTAGTTATATAACGTCTTGTGTGTTTTTTTCTGGTTTTTATAGGACAAATAAAAACGAACGAAAAAGAAGGTAGTATTTCGAAAGATCAAATTAAAAGGTCTATATTTAAAAAAAAAATGAATTTGTAAGTTTCCAAAAATTCCAGTGTACAAAAATAGGTTTCGTTTTATTTTCAGTAATAAACAAATCAAAATGTCTGCAGTTGACACAAATACTACGACTAAAGCAAGTAACTTTATGTAGTCACTTGACAAAGGTGTTCAGAAAGCTACTTCACTAACGGCCATATCACGTTAAAATACCAGTTCCCATACGATCACCGAAGTTAAACAACGTCGAGTCAGGTCAGTACCTAGATGGGTGACAGCTTGGGTGTGCGGATGGT